GAGAATTTTGGTACAGCTAACTTATGCTGAGTTTCAGCACACAGAGTCTAATGGCAGTTTGGTAAAGTGATGTAATTTGGCACTTCATATAGAAATTATTATTCCAGCAGGACTACCACCTGTGAGAAAATCTGATGTAACCCTTCCAAATCTAGTTATTTCATTCACAGTATTTAGATCCAACCAATTTTGTAAGACAGGTCTAACACCTGTTTGGATTTCCCTTTAGTCATCAGACACAGATATCAGCAACAGGTAATTTGTGAAGCAAAGGGATCAAAATGGTATTGTGTACAACTTTCCTCTACGAATTTACCTTGTATCATTAGACTGCCACAGCTACATTTGTAGACAAATGGTACAGATAGGGAAAACTGTTATTTTCAGGATTGATATTTCTTTCTATTGCATTTTAAATGAGAAAATAATCAAACAATTGGAAAGAAAAATAGCATCCAAAGATAAAAGGAAAGAAAAGGAAGAAAGAAGGCATGGAAACATGCAATGTCTTCCTGGCTTTATACCTATAGCAGTTAGAAAACAAAGAGGCTGCCTCCTAAGTATGTTGAACTGGGGAAAGTTGGAGTAAGTCGCCACTCACAGTCTTGAAAATTCTCATCTTGAGCTCTTGTGTGTGAGAAAGGAAAAGTGGGGATCAATATGGATGATGCTAGAATAATCACCATTTTACACACATTGTATTAGTTCTTGTTAGAAAAGATGATGACTGGAACACACAAAAAAACAGACATAAGGCTTTGCACTTAATGCCTCTGAAAAATGTCTACTGGGATCTTTTCTATACCATTCACTTTCCCTCACTGTAATCTCGAAGCCCCTTTTGGAGATCAACCTTATCCTTTAGAGTTGGGAATTATTTTCTCAATGATCAAGCAAAGAGGTTCTGATCAGTTTAGATTTTAATGAGAAATTCAATCACTTCACTAAAATTACTACTTTATACAGGAAATTAGTGGAAAGTTTTCTTATTGACAGTGAAGAGGGCACCTGCACTGAAAAACTGTAAAAGAAGATACACCAGTTCCGTGAACTGATCTACAGCTATAGTTGCAGAAGAGTTTCACTGCTTTTTAAGGGGTGGGAGAAACAGCACAGGCAGAGAGAGCACACATTGCAGTGCATATCATTGTTCTATGGGAGGAAGGAAAGTTTTGCACATCTGGGAACAGCAGTCTGAAAATACAAACACAAAATGCACTTCCTGATCATAATCCAGCTTCTGCATGAATTTGTATATTAACATTTTCCCCAGCTTGAAGTAGTTTAGTTTTACACATACAGCTTATTTACAAGCAGTATTATTTCAGCCTACAAATGTTGGATGACAAAGATCTGACATTACAAGGGAGGACTAAAAAACGTCTGTCAGAATCACCTTGCAATACTGAGAGCATTGTATCAGTTCGCCTACGCTACCAAAAGCCGTAACAGTACAATCAATGAGGAGAACTAGCAGCCTTGTTTAAACTGAAAATGGTGACATCAAGTTGAACAGCTGCCAAACTCACCATCATTTCTGAAACCATTTTCTATAGTTAAGTAGCCTTAAGCTGGGTTTCTAATATACATATACAAATGCAATGACATGATTTTTAATGACTATGTCTGAGTATCTTACACATACCTATTACACAGACATTCTTATATTGTTATATATACTACAGCTTTGGAATACCAATGCTAATATGAAGCAATTGGCCCATAATAATAAAAGCAGGCCTTTCCACTTTTTTCTGTGAGATTTTTCCCACATTTTTTCTTTCCTGTCTTCCTCATCTCTCTTTTTAGTACCCTTTCTTCACCAGAGTTGAAGACCATTTACAAGCTGATCTATCACCATTTGCACCTCTCTTCTTTGCTCTCTGTTTCACTTTGGTTGCAAGATTCATCACTAAGGTAGTACCTACTGTAACTATGAGGCTTAACTTAATGTACTAGAAAAGCTAGTATATACTTTTATTATGAGGCTAAACTTCACATGCCAGAAAAGCAATGCTTACAATAATGGACTGTATCTACACCCAGCAAAAAAAATCAAGAGTAAATCAAGAGCAAATTGAGAATGTAACTTCAAATCTCTAATCTCTCTGTATTGCACGTCATCATCAAGATAAACAAAGTTCTGCAGTTCTTTTGAAACACACTAAAATCATAGAAATTTTGGAAATGTCAATCAAGGATCTGCTGATAAAAACCAGCTTCTGAATGTAATGAACACGTGGGAGTAGTTCTTGTCAATCAAAAAGCCTTGACTTGCCCTTTCAAGAGTCTCTCTTCATTTCTGATATGCTCCCCCTGCTAAATCTTGAAAAATGATCTTACCTTTCAAGAATTGCTTCTGTCTTTTCCCATCATGATCCACATGCGGATACGGTGGGGGATGTATTCATTCAGATCCCTCCCTACATAGATTTAGATGGCTTGCTACTTTAAGATCCTAGTTGTATATAGGTTCATATATATATGTATACAAAGTGGCCAGCTATTTGTCTTCGTATGCTTCCCTGGCAGTCAATGCTTGCAAGAACATACACTCAAGTTTCTGAGCTCAAGGTCCCTCTCAGGACGGCATCAAACACCACAGAATTACAACCTAACAACTCCCCTTACACACCGGGGTAAAACCCCAGCCTTACTGAAACTCTCAATGTCTCCAAAGGGGAGGGATTTCCCTTTTTAGTTATTTAAATTAACTCTTAATCCAGGATTATAGACTGCTTAATACATGAACTACCTCTCACCTTTTACAGCATCAAGTCTAAGAATAACCATTATTGACAATACTGCTTTGACTCGATAAGGTACTTTTATTTAAAATGAGAATAAAACCCCAATGCTATGTCTCATTTCTCATATTGCAATAGCTTAAGCAAACAATGAAAAAAAAGGTGTATCTTGTGATCTTAACAGCCATTATTTACTAAGATCGTTTAATCTTCTACATAAAAGTTCAATATTAAACAACACAAAGAGGAACAGAAAAACTATCAAAAAACAGTTGGGCATGAACCACCTATAGTTTCAAAAGGGCTATTATCTAATTAAATTTGCTATTAGAGTCAAGATTACACTTGCTTAAAGCAAACATGACAAGTTCACTTACTGATGTTACCAGAATGATATGATCTCATCAAAATTTGATTAAGCCAGAAATCAGAATATATAACAGAGGCCAAATCCTGCTTTCTGATTCATGTATGAGTTTGATCTTATAGAAATTCACCCCTAGTTTAACTCTATCAATCAAGAAAGATCTGGCCCACTGAACTACTACACTCAGGAGTTTAAGGTAAGAAATATTTGGCCCAAACTCTCTCTCAATAATGCAAGATACAATCTACGCTATGTAGCCAAAGCAAAGCTTTATTGATAAAAGCAGCTTTATGCAAATGTTCAGCTATAAATTACTTCTAAAGAGTTGGCACTGCAATGTTCAGACATCTATTTAAAAATACTATTTTGTTCTTTTTGGGTGCTTATCAGATAAACTTTGTTCATGTGAATCTAATTATTCAGGTTTTTGCTAAGTTCTTTCCTGTTGGAGCTTCTTGCAAAGTGACTTCAAACTGTTTCATTTTCTGAATAAACTGAGTGATTCCAAACAACTTTTGCTAGAAGAGGAATAAATTAATGATCGGGAGCTCAGAATCCTTTTGGTCTTCAAAGCCTTCAAAGGATTTAAAACATAGAATTTAACTCTTCCCGTCCCCCTCTTTGAAGTGGGTCATTTTTAGTAAAGCAACTTAGCCTCAGGTTTCTTCAGAGCTAGTGCATTACACTATTCTGCGTAGTGCCAGAAGCGCTAACAGCTTAAAACATTACCGAAGAATGGTAGTCGGAAGACTTGCGTTTAAGAAAAAATCAGAAACAAGTAAGTTTTTTCTGCAAAAATTAATGTGGTATCTTTCTATTTACAGGCCCCAAATCTAGGAATATTATTTTATTCAAATACTAGCCAGAGTGGAAGATAGAAAAGTTGAGAGAAAAATCTATGGGAAAAAGCCTTAAATATGAAAAACTCAAACCACTCACTTCACATCATTTTAATTACTATTGGTCTTTTTACATTTACTCACTATACTCATTATAAACTTAGCCAATTTAAGAGAAGATCATTAATGCCAAATAGGATTCTCTCATTTCAGTGATATTTCTTAGCAATCACCTAGAAAAGACTGAAGAAAGAAAGGCAAATGATCTAAATCGGGAATATGTTTTCATTGCAAAAGAATTTGAATTAATAAATTTTGAGATACCCCCAAAATTTTCTGAAAAACCAAAAACTTCCACTTATATTAAGCATTTGGAGTGTATTCAGCCTTAGATACACTACATTTAGGTGTCTATATACAGCTCTTTATATTTAAGCTCTTACTATTAAAGGGGACGTAGTCATCACCGTTTGTGAAGCCACAAATGTGGGTCAGTTCACCCTGAAGCACATATCTACATGTAACTCTACACAGAGCTGAGTAGAGATTCAATCTCCTCTGATTGCAAATGGGAGCCAAGACAACCAGCTCATGTGGAGACACATACAAAGACCTAATTTTAAGTGTTGGGTGTTGAATTCCATCCTTGGTTTCAAAGCAGTCAACACTTTGTTTCTGTTTTTCTTAATAAATATGAGGTAAAGTAAATCTCAAAATGAAAATGGAAATATCAGTTACATATGGCGGAATTTCATCAAAATCAACACATTCCATAAGAAAAGTCTAATTTTAATAAAAGTCTTTTTTAGTTTCCTTCCTTTTTCTCCTTTAAGGCAGTAATCCTAATGGATATAAGACTGATCTTGTTAAGAGGCTGTACATGTACTCCAGAATAAATCCTCATGAACAGGTACTCAATAATAAATAATTTCAGAGCTCATTGAAAAGTTATGACACAAATGTAAACTATTGGAGGAAGGACCTCAACAGCAAAGAGGCACTAAAATAAGAAAGATATTAATACTAAATATAAAGTTATTTTCCTACCTGTGTGCAGACAAATTACTGAGGTACAGGGTGTATTTTTCTTCAGCAGACAGCCCATCCATCATCAAGTAAAAAACATGAAAATTACTCTGTTTGAGAGGTTGCATAATGACACGAGACTTCTCCAACATGTATGTATAAATCCTAGCTGATTGAGAAACAAACAAATAAATTCATCATTATACTGATTGTTCTAAACTTAAAAATTTTAAACCATTCACCATTGCAACACTAAGAATAAACAATGTTTCTTATAAAACAGTCTGAGGTGAGCATGATATCAAAAACATTACCATTCATTCTACCATGGTTTTCTATATAAATCACATATAAACCCCTCATTCCATTAAAATTAGTGGAACAAATGTCTTACCTTACTTACTTACTGTCTTACATTACCTTTAAAATTACTTACTTAATTTTAAAGATAACGATGTTGATTTGTACTCTGTTTTACTTATTTGAGGAACCAGTTGTCATATTTGGGAAGACTTTCTAAGAGACAAGCTGTTAGCCATCTCACTGAAGCATAGCCATCTGAGCACTGACATCTGTTCTAAGCTCCTTCTTAATGGAGAGAGAAAGATGCAAGAGAGATTCAAGACATCTTGGAAAAACTGCCCTTGGAACCATTTCCTCTTTCTCTGTGAGCAATCAGGAACGCTCAGATTAATAGTTTAGATTAACCACCTAACTTCTAGATGGCTACTTCTAGAGGGCTACAAAGAGACAAATCCTCTGCAGAACTCGTCATCAACAAGCTCACTAACCTGTGCCTGGGGAAACACGGGCATCTCAGAAGGGTTATGATGAGCTGGCCAAATAAGAAGCCATGTGAATCAGCACATCTGGGAAGAAGGTGAAGGAGGACGAACCTGACCACGATTTGCCTACAGAAATGCTGATTACAGGATCACACACAATCTGAGGCCCACTAAGGTTCTGAAAGAGGCAAAGCACAGAAGCAGAGGAAATATTGGACCCTCAGATCCATTCACCTGCTTCACCAAATTACAGGTATTTTAGACGTATTTGTGAAGAGACAGAGGGACATTCACGGTTTTGGGCAGACTACTCTTCAGCCCTCCACTAAGTGTACACCACCATGCAGTTCCAGATGCAGAAGGCTAAAGAGAACAAGGGAACGCCTAACTGTAGCTAGAGGTCGGGGCCCTCCCTGTGAGCGAGGACCTGATTCCAGTTCCCATTTACCCACTGTTTGTACACTTTATCTCATCATTGCTTAAATACTAGCTGTGGTGCAAAGACCAGAAGCATGTCCCTTCACACGCAGCTGAGCACCCCCACCACTAGGATGCAGTACATTCTGTTGCAGCTTTACCCCTTTCAATCTCTGCAATATGGCAGAGCTTTCACAGGGTCTTAGCGAGCATCCTTGGCCTGGAAAAGACTGTTGAGTTTAGAGGATAAGGTGCACTTCTCAGCAATGGAGGAGCTATATTTTTGAAACCCTGTAAGCAGAGGAGGATATTAAACCATAGCTTCCCATAGTCTGGATGACAATCAACTCCTCTAAGACTCCTTCCTTTATGAACTGGAAGTAGTTCGTGAACATTCAGTGATAGAAAATACTGGTACGTGCATCCTGTAGCACAGTAAGTATGTTCTCTAAACACATACCGTTTTTGAGCCACTCATGTTTTTTTAGAATTTTTTTTTAACTTACTTGAAGCAAGCTGGGATTAAGCATAAAACAGCACTGAGTTATTCAGTGCAGTCAAAACTGTTGCATTTCTAGGCACAAGCAGAAGCACAACTTCAGGTGCCTGAGAGACCTGAAGATTGAAGGCAGAGTGGGAGTTTAAAGACTTCTAAAGATGGGGATAGTTGAAACAGTATTTTCAGAATCAGTTTTGGACTCAAAGGTATCACCCAATGCAATGCTGAGCAAAGCTATGAAGGTTAGATCTCCGTGTGTGAGTGTGTATCAGAAGCACGGTAGTTGCATTAGCCTAATGGCTAGGCTAGAAGCCAGAATGTCATGCTCCTGCCACCATACATCTGTTAATATCCACAGTAGCTCATTCAGAGCTAGCTTGGTTATTGCTATACCATCTGTGTTTGTCTGGTAATTATATTTTAAATTTCACCTAAGTATTTTCCTATCTTTTGGAGAGCTCTAAGTTTCTGTCTATACTGTTAAATTAAACACAACAAACTTGAAGTTACTTGAAGTTGTGTGTATGAACACACAGAAATGCAGCCTGTGAGAATATTGTTGAAAGACAGTATAGAGTGGAGGGAAACAAAATCGGTGAACGTTGAATATATTGTTTTGAGAAAAGTCTCAGCAGTTAAGTGCTGTCCCTGAACTAAGTATAACTATGCACGGCCTCACAACGTGCTACTCTGCACAGGCCAAACCATCCCAGACACATCCCAGTTAAGCAGTATGGAAGGTCACCGGTACACTACCCAGGGGCATCTTCCACCCTTTCTTTTATTTAACAGCACAAGCATGGCCTGACACATGTACTGGCAACCAAAACCATGCCTGGGATTCTAGCTACAGAAGAGACAGTAGGACTGACAGAGGAGAGTTGTACGGCTGACTTGCTGAACCAAGGAGACATGCTCTGGCCCATTTAATCATCCTACAAAAAGTAGAAGTGAACTCTTGCTATTATGGAACCTATATTATGAGAAATGGTGTATCACCCATCTAGCCCTCTCTGTTGCTACATTACGAAAAAAAGAACTGTGCTGGAAGTAAGAGGGCACACTTGGGAAATCATTAAGCTGGTAGCAGGACATGTTTCTGGCTCCAGTAACTTCGCAGCATACTGCAAATTGAAGCAATGCAATCTTAACCTATCATGGCAGGACTGGCCCAGACACACACTTTCATCAGAATCAATCATTATCTGGCTGCCATTCCTACAGGGTAAAACAGAATAGACGAACCTGAAGGATGATTTCCATCTTTTATTGTGCTTGTAACTTATTTCTCAGTAAAACTAACCCTACCATCAATTAATTTGAAAGGAGGTCATTACTAATCTTTAATCACTTTTTTTGTGTGCAATGATCTTCACTAAGGCTTTCGTAACTATCACTCAGGTGTTTTTAACATTCATTGATTAGTAAAAGCAAGAAAAATGTTACTGGAGGTCATCTATCTGATTAATTAATACATTTAACTTTGATGACGGGCAACACCACTTATTTAGATGACAATTAATTCAGCCCTTTTCAGGTACTTCAAGTCACCCACTTTAATAAGGCTAAATCCAGTTCATCTCAGTTAGCACCTCCAGCAATGGGAAGAGCTGTTAAGAAAAGTTGAGCTTCTGATCAGCAAGAATCAAACACAGCACCATCTTAATGGAGCTAAAGTAACTCATAAAGAAAACTATCATGGTAACATGATTTTCTACAAAGTGAAATGATATGTTCGTTAATCTATGTGTGAAATAAAAGGGAAAAATAATAAAAGAGTTCCAGAGCAAAGTCTGCCATTTTTGTGCAATGTTAACTGTGGACAAGGAAATTTGTACTTCCTTTAACAGATCACTTGACCTACTGAGCAGCTACAAAGTCAGCAAGTGGAGTCTGTATTGAAAGTGTGGCCAGTGAAATCTTTCTTCCAGCTACGCATTCTTTGAAACTACATTGCTCTTTCTCAAAAACCATGCTGTCCTAAACACAGCTATTGCTAAAGACAAAATAACATTTGGAAGTTCAGAGCTGCAACACAGTACAAACTGGGTCCAGTCTTTCTTATACCAAAAAAGGAAATTCATGTCTGAAACTTTTTATTGATAAAAAAATTTTTGTAACACACACAGGCAAATATGCATTCGGCTTCTTTTTACAAATCAAATCAGATCCTTCCATTTCAGTGCAACTTAAAAAAAAAAAAAATCAGGCCTTGCTTTTCAAAAAGTGAAGACTGAGAAAAGCAAGGCCTGAAAAGCAAGGCAGGAAAATCTGGAGATTAAGTTTGCTTGATTTTCTCTTCCTAACCTTCTTTTTTAGTAATTTGAGGATACTGACAGAAGCCTTACCTTTCATCTTAGGAATTATGTCAACGTACCTGAAAGACCATTTACTCTCTCCCTTTCCAAATAAAAATAAAATGCAGCAATTTTACTTCTGGAAATAAATAAATAATCAGTCTTTTATTACTATGCAGTGGGTGTGAATCATCGTATATGAATGATTATGATTTTTTGGCAGAAGATCAGTCTTTGAGTTCTGTTAAGTATGAATTTATTTTAGAAACTTAATGAAATCACTGGCCTGTAGTTTATTCCGTATTTGTTCTGATGTAAGACTTTTTACTAGTTCCCACTTCCTTATCTAATTCTGTCACAAAGAACAATGACTTAATCTGGGTTATACCTTCTCCACTTGTTTGATTGGACTAAAGTAATGAAAGGTACCTGACCACAAAGCCACTTGTTACAGAAAAACTCCCATTGGAACCCAACATCACAGCATGCCTCATCAGAAACAAGAGTCAGAGAAGACACATAAAACCTCTACAGATATCTGTATTGGCTTTGAGTAGGACCACGCTCAAGAGCTCCATCCTTGTTTTCAAAACTTCATGGCAAAGATCCAGTTTATGAGAAAGACTGAATCAAGCCTATAGATGAAAATTATGGCCGTTTCTGTTATTTAGCTATATTGGACTTTCTGCTATAAGAATAAACATTATGTGACAAAAGTCGGAGCATTTCCAGGGTCTAAGCATAAAAGAACTTCAGCATTAACAACAAGCTGTCACAAACTTCACCGATGTCCACTCAAAATACAAGGAATGCTACCTCGAGCTTGCCCTCTATAATAAAAATGAACACATGTACTTTGCATGCCCTTTCCTTAGTAAATTGTTCTGGATCTCCACCCTTAAGATCTGTCTGTTAAGGAGTTCAAACAACCTAAACCCTTTGAGGGAGGCAGTCTAGTGTCGCTTGGATTTTTGTTTACAAACCAGACATATTTAGCCCAGTTTGCCTCAACGAGTTACAAAGTCATGTCTCAGCAGAATCAGGTGCTCTGCATATTTACATTTTTCATTCATGTTTAAACAGTGCAAGACGGTAAATACTGCTGCAAATGATCTTGCAAATAGATACAGAGTATCACTGGGTGGGATTTAAACCAGCCAAAGACAACATGCCTGATTCTTTTCTCATTTACGGTGGTGTAAATCTGGGACAATTTCATTCAGAAGTGATGCTTAGCAGTGGCCTAGAAAAGGCAACATCTACAATGCAAATCAAACAGCATGAACAACTGCACCTTACAAAAATATAAAAAACACTTTCACTGCTGTACTGGGGCTTCTCATTCTTGACTCTAAATTACAGAACTTTTGACTACCTTAGATTTGGTAAGAGCAATTGATCAAATTCCTAAATATTTGGGGAATAGTAAGGCAGATAAGTAATTTGTTTATATTTGTTAATGGACTTGACTACCCCTAGATTTTCTCATTTAATGCCTATGGCTTGAAAGTGATAAAAACACAGCATTAATGTACCAGCAAACTGACACGAGAGCGTGGTTAACTGATTCCACATTTACATCATTCACAGACAAGGGCTGTGAATTAAACTGGCAAGTCTGGGTGAAGCTGCTTGAAAACTCAAGTCCTGGCAACCTCAAGCAAGGCACCCAAAAACTGTGGGAACACATGGCCTTGAGGCTTCCGTTCCTCATCTGAGGAACTGAATGACCCAACCTTAGGTCAGAAGTACTGTGAAAATGAAGCCATTTATGTTTCTGAAATGCTCATACAGTGAAAAATGTTGATGAACAACATAGAAAATCCACAGAAAAACTAGCATTCTGTTTTTAGAGCAGAATAAAATGGCACAAGCCACACATGAATCAATGAAGGGAAAACAAACTATTTAGTAGCAGATCACTGAAGAAATATAGTCCATTCTCTGCACTGAATGAAGCTGGGGAGGGAGGGAGGGGTAGAAAAACAACAGCATTAAATTTGTATGCGCAAGGCAACCCAAGAGTATCTCAGACAACTTCAATTCTGGCATTTCCTAATGTTCATATGCTTGACTTTTCAAAATTAGTATCATTTTCATCTGTTTGTGTTTGTGCTCTGTGTGTGTAACAAAAAAAGAAAAGGCGTGCACGCAATGTAATTGTGATAACTAAATACGCTCAAATTAAATATATACAATACAAAGGATTTATAAAATGTTAATTTTAGGGATTGAACTTTATTTTTACGACCCCAATTCAGATGCTATATAGTCCATTCTAAAGTTGACATCACTTTCTTTATATTCCTCCCACAAGAGCTCATAAATGAAAAACAAAAATCACACTTTTTAGTTTTACATTTTCTTTACAAATATCCTATATTTATTGTAAAACAAACCAGAAAAAAGTGATAGTAATTTCCAACACAGTGACATTTTCACTGAAGAAACTGTCATATTTGGTAGGGTACAGTGAACTCTCTCAAGAAAATGAATTGTAATTCCCACTATGAAATATTTCCAAAGAATATTTTTAGGAAACTCTTCTGAAAGCATAAACACATTTAAGATGATAAAAAATGAGTAGTTTTGGAAATGTTTATCCAATGGGATCTAATTTACTTGGATCAAAAGCATGTCTCACCACACAGATTTTCCATCCAGAAAGATCAGTGCAAGTAGGAACTGTCTGTGTACAGCTATTTCTGCACACACCTCTCGCTTTAGCACAGAGTAACTTTATGATGACCTATGCAGACCAGCAACGAAGCCTTTCCCTGACTGCCTCCAAAGATCAGAGTTTTCAGAATCAAACTGAAGTTTTGCCCAATATTCATTTTTTTTCACTAATGAACGCTTACTGGGGATTAGCAGACTCCCGCTTACTCTGAAAGCAGGCACGAATTCCACACTACCTTACCTCTAATGAGAAAAAACATCAGTATGATTCCTAGTTCCTTTATAAGAAGCTCAAAGCTATAATAAATTACTTCTAATTTCAGTATTACAGAGTACATTTGTATTTTGTTTGCCCTAAACAGATGAGTTTATCACTTATTTAAGGGATACTCAACATACCCAATCCAATATTAGATATGAATGCAAAAAGTAATCTCTTTGTTACTTTTATTTCACAGTAACGCGATACACAGCTGTCACAGTTTGCTAATCTCGGGTATAAAGGGAAATGGCATTTCCTGGGAAATGCAAGTGGTGTTAATTTTTTTTCTTGTCTTTCCCTGCCACCTAGTGGTTGCACAGAACAGGGCTCGCCCTCTTAATACCGCGCACTACTCTTGATAAGCTGTGAAGTCACATGCTATTAAACATGTTCCTCTGACACTCCGTAAACCCCCCTTGCCTCTTGCACATACTTTAAGGCCATTGATGCCCAACTCTGTGCGTGGCACACTGGGATCCCTGATCTACTAGTCTGTGGGTGATATCAAAATAAACAGATTAAATGGTACTTACCCGCTATTAATGTTTTTTTCTTCTCGCAAAACTGTAGCTCAAAATATTTTATAAAACAGCTGGAAAAATCATTCAAGGGTGTCTTAGCATGTCCAAAGGCCTCCAAGATACAGTTTACCTGCAAGACAATGGTAAAGAATAAGAAAGGAAATAAACAGGAAGATATTTAAATAAACATCAGTGAGGTTGGCTCGTGATCAATAACTGGAGAAAAAAAACCCCAAAAACCGTTTTTCAGCTTGGAATTTAACAAATTCCTTGAAAGTTTTTTTCTAAATAGAAATTAAAGTAAGATAGCTCAAAAGAAAAAAAAAATGCTGTCAGAATAGCGGAAGTTGTAAATGGGAGGGGAAGACAATGGCTTGCACTTGAGTTGTGTCCTTACAGGTAGTTTGGATACAAGTAACTGGAGTCACATGCCCAGAGCTGGCATGCTTAGCAAAAAGATTAGAATCTTTGAAGGCAGCTATGTTTGTAAAGTTACAGTCAGTTGATACTAATAACCAGCCAAAGGAATTTACAAGCTTTATATGATGCCAGAAATGGCATAAATTATTGATTCCAAATAGAATTACTTCAACATTATACTAGTGAAGAAGTGAGGAAAAAAATAGATTCTGACTTTTTTATGGCATCTCTCACTAATGCATTTCCATGTTACATCTTCATGGTCACAGCAGTTATTTTTAAAAAATTAAAAATTTTAAAAATAACAAAAAGGATTAAATATGCCATCTTTATTCCATGTTTTCTCTGTATTTACCTTTTTTGTGTTTAATTAATTTCTTACACTAAATGGATTCCCTTCAGCACTTTCCTCTTTTGCATCCTAAGAAATCGATTGCAAGGTGGCCTCAATACACTCTTGGTCTGATATAACCATGGTTTGCTGAAGCTGGATGACCTAGATGGGGAGAGGTAGGAGGGAAGAGGGCTGTGGAGTGGCACAGATAACGTGTGGCTCCAATCACAGACAGAAGCTCTAAAAATCAGACCCTTCAGAATTATTAATTAAACCAGCTATTTGTGCAGTAGGTGGCAGCAGAAAACTAGTCAGCCTAGTTTTGGTTCCACTCCAGTAGTGTTGTTTGGGATGTATTTGCTCATTAAGCTAATTCAGCACTTCGTTTAACCTGTGCAGCTTTATTAACTTTAATGGTGCTATGCAACTGCAGCATTGGAATGAATTCAGGCTACTGTCTTCATTAAAGCACCTTAAAAGGCAATTAAACCAGAATCTCTACTTGATTCCCCATGGGTGGGATCTGCTACATCTACCTTCACTGTCTGAAGTCCCATCTAAGCTAGTCACAAAGGATCTTTCTATAAGCAAACGGCAACTCATTTTTCTTAGTATGTGACGATTCTCTTCTGCCCACATTGACTAAGGCTCATTGCACATATGGCTACATCTGTACTATTAAACTAAACAGGAGCAGGACTCTCTATCCTCTATGGCAAGTGGCATGCTAAGGTTCACATTTGGACATCTACCTCCTCTTTTGCAGGACAGGGTGGACATACTGTTGTGAATGCTCCCTGGCACATGCTGTCCTCTGAACTGTGGCAAGAGGACCTGTTAGGGATTTAAACCATGTCAGGGAGCAGGGTAACAACTGCATGTTAGGGATTGATGTTCAGTTTACTACCTAGAGTAGAGTAGGTTAAAGTAGTCTACAAAGTTAATTAATTTTTAGATGGAGAAAGTTAGGCCTGGTCAGCCCCCTCCCACATTGATTCCTCTTCTTAACCGAGGACAGCATCTTATTCCATTTGCACTGGATCATGATGGCTGTCCCTGGGAATTTTCCTGTGGTCAGGAGACAAATTGCAGCAGAGTCAAGACTACTTCCCACACTTCTTGATTCCCACTGCTGCCATATTTGTACCCAAAACACAGAGGTTTCTGTTACCTATTCACAAAGTTACTTATTTACTTAGTTCTACTCATTACTTAACCTGAACTTTAGGAAAGAAAAGGACTTGGAGGATCTGACCTGAATTTTGCAGTTCTACTTGAATAACACCTATGGTCTGAGCAGTTCAAAATTGTAAGTAAACCTGTGTAGGTAGTAAATGAAAAAATACATGGTAGAAATATATCACTTGTAGGGCTCCTGGGTTTAAAATAAAGTAAGTGTCCTGTCACTATATAAGGGTATTAGTGCAACACTAGACTTTAAAATTTAAATCAAAAAAGGTGACAAAATAACAAGAGTATTCTTAACGTTGTCACGTGAAACCTAGATTAACTGCATCAGTTTAGGAACACCATCAATGAATCAGACAGCACTGTGAAAAACACTTTAACATGGCAATTGTATGACTACACGAAGTAAAGTAAAGCCACAGCTTATTCAGTTGCAATGTTTTCAGTGTCATCAGGCTTTTTAATGTCTTCAAAAAACACAAATGTAACACTGTTTTCTAAAATCCACCCAAAATCCATAGGACTTTTATTACCTTATCAGCTGGAATGTACAAAATATGAACCAGTGTACCTGTAGCCTTTCCCACATCCCAATAATCCTGATTTGTAGGTTGTCTGTTAGTGTCAGCTGTACTTCTGACACTATGTTATCATCTTTCTGGACCGGATCATACAAAATTCAGGAAGAAAGCAGTGTGTTTTGAATGATGCATGTGATCCTATTAAAAAAAACCACAATGAACGATTCTAGAGTTCTGTTGCATATCATGCATGTGGCAAGTGAAACCTAAAAAAAAAAGTATCTTGGGTTGACTGTAAGTGCTGCAGAGGAAGGTCACCAGAGTGGGTGAAAGAGTCTAAACTTTTTTTTTTTTTTTTAAGTATGAAACTCAGAACTGAGTTATGACAATGCAGACTGTGCTAAAACGTTCCATGTAAATCTGTCTCTGAGCTGGGATCTCAGATGAGAAGTTTCATCAGGAAAGGCAATTTTTTGAAAGAATTTGAATTGGCAATCTAGGGTTCAGCATAATTTAAAATGTCAGTATGAACCTTTACAGTAGTGTTACAGCTGTAACAATGAAAGACAAGTTGCAATGTTCAGTCAAATGAAAACTTTACATTTACAATGTACTAGAAAGGAGACAAATTCATCTGATACGTGAAGCAGGTTCTCATGATTTCATGTTATGCCTTGGGCAGAATTTGGTTCTGCTGTGGGAATTCAATATGACTAAGCAAATACTCAGAACTCTTGCCTATGTCATAAATATATTTAGTCTACAAATATTGGGCCATATAACTTTGTTCAGTCCTTACAGTTTTCCTGTAACTTTCCAGTTTCTGTCTTATATACTACTACTTCAGATGCCTCAGCACTTCTTATACCATCCAGAGAAGCACCACCGCAACCATACAGATAAATTTATTTATTTACTGAAGGCAATTAGTACACATTTAGGAGACAGTACCTTATCACACAAGTGTTTCCTATTCACTGAAGCACTGCTTTCCGAAGTCACCAAAACATATAGAAACAAAACTGGCCTCCACTTTTTGGTTTCCTCTCATCACATCAATGTGAGCTTAATCCTGTTCCCATTCAGGTCAATTCAGGGAAAGAAACCTCCTTTGACTTCAATGGTGAAAACAAACCCTTTATGAACTTCTGCACAGCAGATGCTTTTTTCCTTACAGTTCAAATGCCTTTGCCTATCCAAGAGGCCAGATTTTTGCTTTGTTCTACTCACTACCCAGTGATCAGAATGCTACTTACATGCTTTATCTTTGTATCAAAGGTATTTCTGCTGGAGCTGGCTCTGCAAGTGAGGTGCTTCACTATCTGTTTGCAGGCTTCAGACTTCCCAGAACCACTTTCTCCACTGCAAGATGACAGGCAAGAAAGATAGAGGGGAATCATTGTTATTTTCACATTTGATATGTTATTTATATTCTCTGCTAGCTCTGTTTGAATGGATTTAAGATATCTCAGTCAAACTTTCATTTCAAGTAACAGAAGGTTTATGGATGGCAAATAATAAAGAACAGAACGTAGGAGATCGACTGGCTGTCTATGTTTATGAGGGCTGTCAGAGCTGTCAAGCTATATTGTCTTGTACCACAAGCCAAGCCAATCAAATCTAAAGCTTTCAAGTAATTTTGAGGGTATTTATAGCACAGATTTTATCTCCTCCTTTATCTTCTGTCCAGCAAAGGAGCCTGCTAATGCTGCCTGGTTCTCTTTGCAGACGGGGAAATACTACTGTGGTAATGATGGAAGTCAGAAGGAAAGGAAAGTGTAGAATACAACAAGAAGAAGGTAAAGGAAATAGGAAAGGAACAGGAAGGAAAAGAAAAAGATGATTGATTTTACAACCTGCCCAGTTTCTGCAGTGCAATACACTCTGACTTCAGTGATCCTGTTTCACTTAATTTCTTGTTCATGATGTGGAATAAATATTCCAAAGAATGAGAATCTCTGAGGGGGAAAATGAGCAAAGAAAACAAGGTAAAAGGCAATATGAAAAACGAAGGTAGGAAGAAACAACAGAAAAGTGGAGGGTTGGAGGAGGGAAGCAAACTCAGTGGTGCACTCTAAGCATGGAGAAGGAAGGGAAAGAAACAAAAGAGATGGAAAGGATAAAGTTAGTGAAGCCTGATTAAGAAATTCATATAAGAATTTCTTACTTGAATTCTAAGAAGTTGCTTTCTTTATAGACAACTGAACCAAACAAAATGTAATTTTATGCTCTTCCTTCATTTATCTGCTTGATCCAATTTAAAAGGCTGTTTCTACCACAGCCAGTTAGATTTTTCACAAGTACGACGGCCATGCTGGTTGGTCAGTCTTTATCTGTATAGTTTAGTTTCTGAAAATGAGAGGGCAGCAAAATATAGTATCTGTCTGGCCATTGCTTTATCTATTCAAATCTCACTTCAAAGGAGAAATCAATTAAATAAAGGAAGAAACAAAAGAGGGAAGGACAAAAATGTCTTCATACTCAGGCAGGAATGGGATCTCTGCACCATTCATTTTCATTCAACTCTTATGGGACATACACACAGCTCTGGTGAGTATCTTATTTGTTTACCTGGTAAACTGTAGTCTTAGGTGATAAGACAGATGTCTCATTACTATATGTGATGTGTCAAACTGCTTTTATCTATGTCCTCCATGTTCTATAATGAGCTGGAGTCTGACCCAGGACTTCAAACTCCTATTGGCATCAGTAGGAGGTTTGTGGTCCAAGACTGCAAAGGTTTGCGACCTGGACATATGTTATGCAAAGACCTCAAATAACAGGTCACAAAGCCATATTTAAACCAGGTCTTACAATGAAAGAAATCATGTGAAGTCAAGAAGGTCACTGTCACAGCTAATATGAAACTAGTATCTCTACAGGATTGACGAGGTTCTCCGTAAGAGCACTATCCCTTGCTCAGATCTTCAGCTTCTAACTTTCTGAAAGAGTTTCAAAAGTCAGATGATACTTGATGTCACCCTCTAAAATCTGCATGCATCTCTGCCCTCTTAACGACTTCGCTCTCCATATGTTAATTGTACCATGCTGCCTCTGTTCTTAAGAAGGAGCATTAGCCTTCTGTCTTTATAATGGTAGTGTCCAAATTCCACGTTCCTTTGCCTGTTACCACTAACAGGAACAGAAAAAAGTGAAACAGGGCATTAGTCCTGTGATACTCCTCCCATGGAGACATTTCATACTCTTGCAAATTACTGATCTTATGCCTGTATTGTCCAGAAAGTCAGCGAGCTTACGGATAGACATATATTGCCCCCCACCCTGCCTCCTACTGCCCACTCACATTGGACACTCCACTGGCACTTGTGTGTCATAATGATGAAAATAATTTTGTCCCTCCACAACATACTTAATCCAAAATCACAGCTGCAACCTGCTATGACTATACCACAGGTTACCAACAAGATTAGCAACAGCGGCTCTTCGCTTATTTCAGCTGTTAAGGAACTTCTCTGAAGTTAAAACATCTCTGAAGTTTAGTACAGTCACAGTTACAGATGATGCCACTAAGCAGAAGTGTTCATATATGTTCGAAAATCAGATCTGAAATAATTCATAGTTTGTAACAACTCACAAGTTGTCCAATGTGTACTGCCCTTTATATCCAGCAGATAAATATTTGTATCATTCTGAGCGCTGAACAAGACTTGATATTTAACAAAGTGTTGTAGTATTTTATTATTTTGCTTGCTTAGGTCCAACTTCATCTGCCAAAAATAGCTTCTTTAACAGAAGGCTTTTCCAGGATTACCAGGGTGGGGGTATTTTTCAAAAAAACTTTCTCACAACTGGAGAAACTGGGGAGATGAGGGTGGGCAGAAGGGATGCTAAAATAACATTTGATGCGCCTTTGATTGTTTTCGAGTATTACAAAGCAGGCATGCAAATTACAATTAAAACCAGAAAAATGCTTTCTTAAACAAAGGAACTGGAGTGTTCACCATGAGTTTCCCCACTTAACAATTAATTTGTTTCACTTTTTAAATAAGGCTATATTTTGTTTTTCACTGCAAGCTAACTGTGGCCCGGATAACACAGGACCATGCAAGGGTGCACAACGTGGACAGTTTCTGTCCCTTCTTGAATATTTCTTCCCAAGATTGCTGTTTCCTAAACATTGCAGTGACACAGTTACAAAGATTTGACACTCTCAGCTCAACTGTTAATTTTACAGTGATTGACATTTTGTCCAGCAGTGTCAGGGGAGCTTGTTGGCTAAAGTGGTTGCTAGAGTTCATTTCAGGGGTCGGAATTCACTAGATCTTGGTTGCTGAAAGACAGACACAATGTCATTTAGTTGTTCTGTGCATTTCAAAGGGTTATATGTATACTCCTAGTGAAATATAGATTGTAGCACTGAGAAAGAAATGCCATGTTAGGTGAAGTTTTAATTGTTGATATAATTGTTTGGAACATTTGGGGCAATAAATAATTTAACAATGAAAAAGTAATTTGGCACCTTGAACCAGATCTTGTTTGTTCCATTTCCTTTGAGGTGGAGTAAAATTTTTTGTAACGTCTCCATTGTCCACAATATCTTCGCTTTAACAGTTTAATTCTGCTTAGAGAGCAATTCCTCTTCTCTGTTTTAAATAATTGCTTCATCACTATGTTTTTCAAAATGTAATTTACAGTATGAACGTTGACTTCTTATCACTTTTGGTCGGTCTGCCTTACCAAGGTGGAGGATAAGTTAGCATTGCAGCAGAAAAGCATTCTTCCACAGTAAAACTTCCTTAGAAGGCATTATGAAACAGGCAAAGCAAAGACAGCTTGTTTCACAGATAAAGAAGGTTAAATTAGGAAATCAGCAGAGACAGTGTACTCTAAGGGAAAGGAAAATGGACAGAGAATTTGAAAGCCTATGCTCACCATGGGCTTTGGGCAGGTTCCGCTAAGCTTTCTCATTTTATTCCTCCTTTGGCTTTCTAACTTTCCTATATAACTACCTGATGGAGGGCCTGGTTCCTACTATTTCTTTATTAATGTTTTGTTAATACAACCTCAATCACAACTCTAGTCTCCGTATCTTAAAATAATATGAATAATAAGAAAAAATAAACTCTGTTTTGAAATAAACCATTCAAAACTAAAATTGTTAGGAAAAAGTCCAATTTGAAGTGTGAAAATACAAAGGCATGTGAAGCAAAGAACACAAGATGTTCTACAACCAGGGGAACTAAAGAAGCTACACCCTGCAAATCCACTGCACTTGGATTATGATCCAGCTCTTCTGCTACCTTGTGCCAGCCTAGCTGGGCCACGGGCACCACTCACGCTGGCGAGCTCAGCGCTAAGCATGTGCTTGTGGGACAGTCCACACGAACCGCCTGGCTGTTCCCTTTCAGAATAGCTGTGGTTGGAGTTACAACCGACTCTGTGACAGCTCCCAAAAACCACAAAGTCTGTGTGACCACCCCAGCTCTGAGACCTCCATGGCTGTTAGCGGCCAACAGGTTCAAAAGTTATTGGGTGGAGGGGGACTTAGAGGTGGACAGACAGAACCATCACATAGAAGTAGTTAGCCGAGGAAGTCCAGCTAAAATAGTCAAAAAACAGCAAACCCCAGGCAAGATTTTAAGAATTAATTCCTGCAAGTACTGAGACGTACATCTTGCTTACCCTCAATTTCTGCATATTAGCCAGGTTTGTCTATATCTTTATGAATTCAGATAACTGGATCATTACTGTTTGGCAAGTGTAAATACCAGTGTAAATAAATCCTATATATCATCTGTTTGGGGAAAAATATGACAAAACATAAAACATGTAAGGAGCAATGTACCTGCCACTTCAGATCATATAAGTGACAGGGTTTTATTGTCCGCATTTCATTTTCAGTTCTGACCAAAGGTACCGCATTCAGAAGTCCAGGAATACTTAACAAAACAAACAAAACAACCTACTCCTGCAGTACTTGAATTATAATCAGAAACGCTGGAAAACTTCTGACAGAATTTGTTCATATAAGATTTCCACCAGTTTTAAAGGAAGATTTAGATCAGCATAGATATGCATGCTGTTTTGTATGAACTTCTGAAACCAATCTCTTATTGTACCACCCTAAACTGTGAGTGTTAGTACTCCAGATTCCCACTCTGATAGTAAGATATAGCTAGGGAAGAGAAAGTAAGCTTGCAAACTTTGGGGGGACCAGAATAATTTCTTTCTTCTCAGTTTGCAGAGTACATAAGCAAGACACTGGGTCTTGCTCCATGACTGAGGTCTTTAGATTTGAAATAAATATGTGCAAGCAAGACTGCTAAATATAAAATCACGTGTTTTGTATCATCAGTAGTGATACCTGTAACTGAACAACCCTGCATGTTAGTTGGAAATTA